ATATCGGCTTCAAATTCCTGTAGAGATTCTGGCAGCGATTCTTCAGCTGTGAATGGTAAATGTGCTCTAGGTGTGCCTGTTCATACCGTAGCTCAAGGTGTTTAATAAGTTGGTCATAGTCTTCCTGTTCTTGGGCCGTGAGGGTTTGCACAATATTCGTTGTTTCTCCACGCAACGCCAGTGTTAATGCTGCCGCCTTTTCTCTTACATTCCATCCATTCGCTCTGGCCGCAGCTTGAAATTGTCGGCGGTAATTTACCCAAGGAGTTTTTCCGTCGAACTGGGACGGCTTCATGGAGAGATTTCCTGGTTCAGAACTGACTTTGACATCTTTCATTGCCTTTTGAAGTTCTTCCATGTTAAAACTTAGTTCCGGAATTGAGTTTTCGGTTAGTTTCTGTGGTGTGGGCGGAATTAACGATTTGGTATTGCAACTTGCCAATTGTTTTCTTCATCTTGCTGATTTCTGCCTCAACTACGCCTTTGATTTCATCGCCTATTTTTTTTTCATTCTCTTCATTTCTGCCCCGATTTTGTCTATATCTGTCTCGATGGTTTCTATTCTTTCTTCGAGTAGCCTCGCCACGCACAAAGTTCTTTCTTTAAGCCTTCCTTATTTTCTAGAAGTTTGTCTTCCAAACTCTTCGAATTTTCCAGAAGCTTCTCCTCCAAGATGAACTTCGAATTTTGTCGAAGTTCATCTTTTAAACTCACCGAATTTTGTTGAAGTTCATCTTTCAGTGATTTGGTATTCTCATCGAGTTAGCTCATTATTGAACTCAAATCACCTCCAGAATATTCGAATAAATATGTTTCGGAATCTTCTCCTGATTCAGTCAAGTTATCTCACAGTCTCTTCTGGAGTATTGATTTCTTTCCTCTTTCTGAATGCAACTGCCCTCTCTTGACGAGAGCCGGCCTTATAAATCGGTAAATGTCCATTGTGTAATTCTGTACTCTGTTCGGTACTCGCCTAGACATTTTCCGGCGGTTTCAAACTGCATTCTTTCGCGCTAGGTCAAGTATTTATTCGATTCGGCTTCAGATTCGTTATAGTATTGTGGAAGCTGCTGAGATTTGAAGCTCGTTCTGTGGAGACTTGATATGGTTCTGGAAGCTGCTGATATTTGAAGTTTGTTCTAGAAAGGTTGCTAAGACGGTTTTGGATGTAGTTGTTGAGATGACTCTGAACTGATACTGCACACGTTGATATAGTCTTCTGAAATAAATTCGTTTTTCAATACAAACATACACCAAAGGAAAATAATATTCAAGAGTGGGAGTTATGTCTTTCATGAAGTGATTGCTACACTTATAATTGAAATGATAAATCAACTGTCATTCAAAATAACGAATTTGAAACAATTTCTGCACGTACTAAATGAAGGAAAAATATTGTATAAAAATACTACTTTACGCGGATCATATCTATGAATGAGGATTTCCGGATGTTGGTTGATTCAGCATTGACATTGATCCATGTCACCATGGGTATGAATAGAGAGGGTGACAAACATATGAATTCAGCTTTCTTTTCACTTTCATTTGATGTGCTACATGTGATGATGCGACTATTATTAGCGAAGAAACCGACTCTTTGCCCTCTTGGCATCGTCTTCGATTTTTTCTTTGTCGATGAATTCTGCATTTATTTTTCTTTCATTTGATGTGCTGAACGTTGAGATTCAACTATCAATAATAAAGATGTGGCTTAGTGTTTTTAATGTTTTATCATTATTATTTTCCCTCATTTTTGAGTTCAGTTTCATCTAACGAAATCAACCAACCGATATTTGTTCTCTCCATTCTGATTGACTGACCGATACCACTCTGTATATCTGGAGTTTTTCAACTAGATTAGTCTAGTTTCGTACTTTCCAAAATATTTACTGATCATAACCATCAAGAATCGATTTAGATTAGCATTATAAATACTTGACAAGTATGTTATATTTTTGCATGCCTTCAGTGAATGTGATACTACATCGGCGTTGTTAAGTCAAGGCAAAATTCGATTCCTCAAAACTTTGAAAAAAAAAACTCAATATTAACAGATGCGATTCAGGTATTTGACGACCCCAATGCCGAATTACCGAAATTCATTGCCGCTGGCGAACTGTTTATATTACGACAGTATGGTGCAGGAAGCGAACATAGTAAGATGGAATTTTGTACGGGCCGTCTCAAAAAATTCATTTAAATTATCGGCGCTACCACTTACATACGATGTGTGCCATCATCATTCATTGCGTACTTACTGTCAAGTACAGAGCTGGCGGGGAGTTCAGAAACTTCCAGATCATGGATGGCGCGGAACAACCACAAGACTGGACGCATTACGGATGACAATGGAACCAGCTCCAAATGTTTTACTAAGAGCATCTCGTGCAGATGCAAGAAAAGTTGTGGAACTGCTTGTGGCTGCCGTAAGATGGGATTGAAATTTTCGATTATTTGTTTATATTGTACTGGGATGTCCTGCAAAAACACTACGGACCAGATTGCGTTAGACGACGACAATGCAAAAGATCCCGAAAACGTTCTCAATCAGTTACAGGACGATGAGGACCAAACATAAAACGCCGAGTTTGACGAATAAACCCAAATATCGACTTTGGATTAGGCTCCTTGGGAATACCACGTTAAAAAACGCGCCGATCAACTCTACCTCAAGGGTGGTGTGGAAACATTTTGATAATGATACTTCTTTGTTCATGTATATACAAAAATAATAAATTTGGCGACCAGGTCAAACAACAATAAGGAAATATTGACCGTAGATTCTGATAATTACAAAATGTGTATATAGGAGCATGTAAAGGCGCGCTTCAAACCACCATAACATATCAAATCGGACATCTGCAGACTCAGAAATCATTACCCTTTTGGAAAAAAAATACATAACTATTTCACAGCGACCTTCGTTTTAATCCGCGCTGAAATACTCATTTTGTTGAACATCAACCCCCAACTTTGACGCGTCGTAGAGCGGAAACTGTTGGTCGTAGACAAAAAAAAAGTAGAATTCAAAATTACGCACCATTTTATCCTGTATATATTTCATTTGAACTTTTCGGCAGAATTTACCACAAAGCTCAATTTCCTCTTAAAGCGTCGCGATGCAGAGTTTTCATCACCCACAAGATCGGCAACCCCCGATGTCGCAAACTCAGGTGTACTATTAAAAGAGCTATGTCTACCATTCCACTTTGACTAGTACATGTAAATAATATGTTGCTATTAATATTTCTGCAATTACAAACGACTTTTCAGTTTTTATTTCATTGTTTCTTGATCTATTTGAATTCATTGTAGGTTAAAGCTAGGGTCATTAAGCTTTTATCTCCATCCATTGTATCTGCTTACAAGAAACAAACTATTATAGACTTATAAGGATGGTATTCATTACAAATTCAGATACACCAAGTTACAGCAGGTAAGCTAAAACTCCTGACCAAAGACTAATCAACTAATGAATCAGTATTATTTTATAAAGAAACCCTTTGTACCTTTGGAAGATAAATAGTAATTGTTACCAAATTGATGTTGGTACCTTTAATCTATGATGAACTAATTTTCTTTTCCACTTTTATTGAACTGTCAAGTGTTGTCAGCTGTCATGTTTCAACAGTAGTGTTACGTTTTCCCTGTGGGTTTAAAAATACTTGACTACACTGTACGATAATTAGTCAACTTTATTTTACTGTTATTACAACGAAACACGAACTAAAACTTCCAACTATTATTCAAATGTATATCGCCTAATTAGATCGCACTGTCCGCGAAACTTTACTATATCGATATGCTCGTAGGTAGCGTTTATATACGACAATCGAATTTTCTTTACAGCTTGTGTTATAGCACACATTTGCAATGCATGTAACAACATTTTCTGGACAATAAATAATTCATTTTAAACAAACCTGAGAAACAAACACCATACCAAAGAAAACTATCTAATTATGCGTAAAAACTTTGTATTGTAGATTTTCAAGTCTAAACGATTCCCTTTGTGTCCATGAAATGTGACAAGCAGTTTTGAAAAAATATTTGTAGATGGTTCTGTAATTAGCGATAATTTTGTAATCACTTTGTTCATTTATAGCTACAACTTTAACACTTTCATGCTACTTGGAAAATCCTTTTCACTAAAAGACAAGTTCACTAAATAGATCAAAGGTAAAAAAATAAGATGCAAGACATTCAACCGTGAATGCTGGCTGTTAGATTTTATTTTATAACGTAAGAATTTATGTTTATACTTCAATCAAGTTCACTCATTTACAACCAAATTTTTATTGAATTGCTGAATTTTACATAGTTACGAAACAAGGAAAGGTTGTTAAAAAAATGTTAGACTTGAAAGTAAAAGAAAAATAACAAAACCATGGCACTTCATCAAAACCAGAAAATTTGTAATTTTTCAAACCAGATAATAATGTGTGTAGTTCATTATTGGTGAATGGTTAAAGATACATGTTGAAGTGACCAACTTATGTTGATCAAGTGAAGTTATTTATGCCTGGGGTGTATAAAATTATAAGAAACTTGTCTGAATGAAAAGATTAGCAACTGTCTCCTTACTAAAACTTAGCAACTGTCTCCCCACTATAAATGACTTCAGTGAAGTGGCCAACAATTTTTTTCATTTTGTATTGGAAATTATATTTAGACAAAAAGATTACATTTTCTAAGAAAGCGACAATATCATGTGTTTTTCTGCTTTATATGTAGTATTTAATTTAGGATATTTCGTACAAATTTTGTTTTACCATAAGAATTTTTATTTGGAAAGTTATTTGTCAGAATGAAATTGGAATATACCGTGGACATAAGCGAAGGCATCAATATTGAAAATATGTTATAAAAATTCACTACCTTCATGTTCTGAAAATATACTTGAAAGTTACAATGTTCTTTCCTATTTTCTGTTAACTTCACAGAAATTATTTATTGAACAATATTATTTCAATTGACTTTCAAAAATTTTTTTTTTACAGCTGATACTCCTCTTGGACAAGTGAAAGTTGGAGAGATTGGAGCTTGGTTAGCACGTCGTAATAAAACACCCAGTGCTATAACTGGAGCTTTGAGCCGAGGTTAGTTATGAATACTGAATGGAAAAAAATATAATCCCCCATTACATTTTGGATAGTATAAATATAATTTCTTCTCAACAATAAATATATTAATTTACATCCGAAAAAATGTAGATGTTTGTTCCGTGAATAGAAAAATATTTTTAGTTTTAACTTTTTTAGCTTATTGGAGATGGCAACACAAATATGTTCAGCCTAAAAGAGCTGGGATCGCACCATTTTTGCATGTAGTATTTGGTTCTATGGCATTTTTCTACTTGATTAATTACGGAAAGTTGAGTAAGTTACTCAAAAATGTAAGATGTAAATATTTTTGTTATACTTAATATTTTTTTCAGGCCGCCACAGGAATTACAAGTACCATTAATACATGGGCCATACATTTCTGTAGTCTTTTGCTGTATATTGAGCAGTCACATAACATATATAGCAAAATTGGTATATCTTCACTGAATTAAAATGTACTAAATTAATTTTTGTGTATTAGTTATTTTTTATTGGCATCAATGACTTGGCCATGCCATGTCTTTACTGTGAGACCACGTAAATTCTATTCCAGAAAGAAATACACTGATAAATTGTTATTGGAGTACTGCTTTGTTCATTTTTATTTCATTCTTTATGAAGTTCTTAGTTGTTTTCATAAAAACCATTAATGTAACTTTTTCGAAATATAAATAAACAAAATTTGAATATTATTTTTCACCGATTTTAAAATCTGCAAAACGGATATTATTTATTAATCTTCAGGAAAACAATGTTCACAGATTAGTCACCGGAAAATATCTGAAATTGTCCAAAATTATTCATTCAGATTCACCAATCATTATTTTACAATTTGAAATCGTAAAATTGAATAATCACAGTGACATAAAACTTTCTGTTTTTTTTTACTTTTTATTCATAACTAATGTTACTGCAGTTTCATCCTATAAGGACATTTTCAAACAATTACAATGAACTAAAAATAAATAATATTGTTATCCCTTATATATCTACTTTAGGTTATAATAGAGGTCCTTAACTAAATTGAGTACCTGAAATTTGTTTATCTGTGACAATGTGGATACGCTAATTTGAAAACTGGCGAGTAAACTAGACCAATTTAATCATTGAGCAGATTAAGTCTGCAATGCTTATGAATTTCTAAGAATTCTTGTCAGAAGTCTGGATACTATTACTGTTTTCCAAGATTCTACCGACTGCGCCAATTTGTAATGTGATTTTAACTTAATTTATCTTTTTAAAAGTAAACTTTATTGAACACAAATTCAATTACAATAAAGAGTTTTATAAAATGTGATTCAAAATTTCGATGAACATGGATAGTCCCTAACTTAGTCAAGAATGTGGCGTCCTCTTGTTCTCCCATATTTATAGGAATAGGAGCTGTTGATTTAGATGTGCATTTTTTTTTCTAATATTCTAGAAAAAACTTGAAAATATGCAATCATTTCCTGGGTACGTAGTGGCTGATACAATACTTTATATTTATGGTGCAATCCATAGACAAAGGGTGCATTGATTTTTGTAATATAACATATGTTTTATATTTTGTCTGTTGTTATGGAAGGAATTATTGAAATGAAAAGTAAGAAAACCTGTATTGTTCGTTTAGTAATTAAGAAGTTCGAAAGTTAAGGGGCGAAACAGTCATGGTCAACTAAAGTGAAAATGTATCAAGTACTGTATCTGCTGTGGGGTTATCTGGTTCAATTCTGAAGAACCAAATTGTATGAGCAACTACAGTACGTGGAAGTTTATGATGAGGATGACTCTCATTGGAATGGATCATTGGGATTGTGTTGAGCCATTAAACGACCTCGCTACATCATTCCAAGAAAGATCGACGAGCCTTGCCACCATCTGTCTGAATGTGAAAATTCATCGTTATATCAACGACATCAGCAAGAGAAGCGTGGGATAATCTCAGAAAAGCATATGAAGACAAAAGGCTGACTCGACGTTTAGGATTATTAAAATCCCTCTTTCGCGTGAAGTAAGATTATTTCAGCAGTCTTGACCAGTACGTTACAGAAGTATTGTTAACATCACAAAAATTAGCCAATATCAGTAATCCGTTGAAAGACGAGTTCATCGGTGTGATAATCTTAGCAGGTCTACCTTCCCGATTTGATTCGATGATTATGGCTTTAAGGCTTCTGGTGCAAAAATAACTAGCGATCTTGTGAAAAATAAACTATTATAAGATGATATCAAACGTAGCACATTAACAATACTGAAGGCGCAGCATTCACATCAAAGAAATGGAATTGTAGAAATGGACCAAGTTCACTGAATAAAAAGCAAAGAGGACTGAAATATTTCGGATGTGGAGCTCTTGGGTATAAGAAAATAGCACATCCAAAAGCAAATGTGTAACAAAAACTGCCACGAAATGGTTTGGAACAGCAACTAACGTTAATGGATTATATAAGCTTGATCTTCAAATTAACTTTTGTGAGTTACTTATGACGGTAGCTGTACTAACATGTTCAATTCCAAAGTCGAGAAAATTGTGGAGCCATCTAGGGTGTCGTCAATTCTTGGAAGAGGGTAACTGTCTTTTTTTCGCCAAGTTATCAGTTGGCGACAATCCACGCAGAACCTTGTCGAGCCGCCCTTCTTCAATAATAAGACTGTGGAAGACCAGGGGTTGTCAAAAGGTTCGATGATTCCTTCTTTTTCCATATCGCTGACTATCTCCTGCCTATTTCTTTCTTGGCAAGAGGGAGTCTTCTAGCTGATTGCCGGATTGGTCGGGCATTCCCAGTGTCGATTCTGTGCTGAACCACATTCGTTCTGCCGCCTTTTCCTTCTCCAATATCGAAGATTTCCTGGTACTTCTTCACTAACTCCCTCAATTTGTATCGGTGAGTTGGTGGTATGTCCTTGGAGGAAATGTCAATCAACTTCTCCAACTCTTTAGGCAAGTGGCTGGCTTTGCTAACCGAACTGCGAACACTCCGTATCATAGAGAAAATGGACGAACAGTGCCCCAGTATTGTTCCTTTCTTCAAGGTCACGGAAAAGTAGTTAATATTCATGACCCTGACCGGCACAACTTATCAACACGCAACAGGGTCTTCCCCAGTGCGATTCCTCGTCCAATTTTCTCACGCTGCTCGCACGCTTTCTCGCTGCTCGCACTTCCGTCCAAGCGAGCCTCCAGGATGGTTTCAGTCCTCCCAGGTACGCACACGTCTTAAGCCAGCAGGACCCTGATTATCTCTTCGCTTCTTCCATGAAGCACCAGCTCTTCGTCGACACGTAGGACGCCGTCTTGAATATTCAGCTCGAACCCTCTGGAATTCATTATGCCCATTCCAATAATCGCATTGTCCTGGATGTCCGCCACCAATGCACGCTGGTTCAATTTATTGCTACCCAACACCAATTCAATTGGTAGTTCTCCAAGTACAGTGGCAGGCTCTCCTTAGCTGTATCTTCCAAATTGACGGTTCAATTCTTGCCGGTGTTTTGGCAAAGGTTGACCCAAGAATGGTTCTCGTCGCACCTGTATTTAACAGCATGGTGCAAGGCTCGTTGTTGATGAAGTCGTCTACGAAAACGCCTTTGTCTGGACGTTGGAGAATGACAATATATGCGTTTTTTTACTGGGGCTTGCTGGGTACAGGCCGACGATTGCTCCTTCTCATCGACCACCTCTAGTTTTTCTGATTTATTGTTGGTTCTTTGAATGCTGGACATTTGCTACGCACATGCCCAATTTTCCCACAATTCCAGCATCTTATTTGTTTTCTTTCAGGCAATACTTCTTTTATTACCCCATCTCATGGTGGCTTCAATATCAGCAGGCACCTGTCCATCTTCCTCGATAGTTCGAACTTTGTTCTGGCTCTTGCAGTATTGTTTTGCAGCCTCAAACTCCAGAGCGCTTGCCAGTGCATCCACGAGATGTTTCGGATGAGCTAGTGTCACGGCCTGCATTATTTCTTGGTCGCGAAATCCATCTAAGATTGCCCGACCTGCTAACCGCTCCATTACATTTTCCGGTGTAGCAGGATATGCCAGATATGATATGCCAGATACCAATAGAGCAATGTCGGCATCAAATTCCTGTAGAGATTCTCATGATTTCTGGCAGCGGTTCTTCAGCTGTGAATGGTAAATTCATGGCCTATTCATACCGTAGCTCAAGATGTTTTATAAGTTGATCATAGTCTTTCTGTTCTTGGGCCGTGAGGGTTTGCAAAATATTCGTTGCTTCTCCACACAACGCCAGTGTTAATGCTGCCGCATTTACTCCTGTAGCTCTGGCCGCAGCTTCGAATTGTCGGCGGTAATTTGCCCAAGAAGTTTTTCCGTTGAACTGGGGCAGCTTCATGGAGAGCTTTCCTGGTTCAGAACTGACTTTGACATCTTTCATTGCCTTTTGAAATTCTTCCATGTTAAAACTTAGTTCCGGAATTGAGTTTTCGGTAAGTTTCTGTGGTGTGGGCGGAATTAACGATTTGGTATTGTAACTTGCCAATTGTTTCCTTCATCTTGCTGATTTCTGCCTCAACTCCGCCTTTGATTTCATCGCCTATTTTTTTTCATTCTCTTCATTTCTGCCCCGATATTGTCTATTTCTGTCTCGATGGTTCCTATCCTTTCTTCGAGTAGACTCGCCACGCAACAAAGTTCTTTCTTTAAGCCTTCCGTATTTTCTAGAAGTTTGTCCTCCAAACTTTCGGGATCTTCTCCTGATTCAGTCAAAGTTATCCCACAGTCTCTTCTGGAGTATTGATTTCTTTCCGTTCTAGTTCTAGTTCCCTCTCCTCCAATTTTTGCTTCAATTCAATTCAAGTCCTCTAGGTGCACTTTCCTCGAACACATTTTGTCTCTCATTGTCTATTTTCCACAAAACTGTATATGTCCACTTAATTTAATCGAGTCCGAAACACTATTTTTCGCGAGGAAGGTCTATCCGTAGTCCGGTACTGTCTACTTCGCGAAACACAACGAATCACCAGACAATTTCATCGCAATACAAATATTGTCCACCACGCGCTCACAGAATTATTTTACAAATCCACTTCTGATCACCAAATGTAACAAATTAAAGAATTAACTGTCTTAAAAGAAATTTATTTCTAACAATATTTCACTATCACAAACTAATTTATACACTTAATTTATTTCCACTATTTGAATTCCTTGTTTAACTGCTCGATACTCTTTCTGAATGCAACTGCCCTCTCTTGACGAGAGCCGGCCTTATAAATCGGTAAAGATTCATTGTAGAATTCTCTAGTTTGTTCGGTACTCACCTAGAATTTTTCCGGCGGTTTCAGACTGCATTCTTTCGCGGTGGGTCAAGTATTTATTCGATGAATCGGCTGGCGTATGGGTCAGGGGCGGCTTCAGATTCGTTATACTATTGTTGAAGCTGCTGAGATTTGAAGCTCGTTATGTGGAGACTGTTGATATGGTTCTGGAAGCTGCTGATATTTGAAGTTTGTTCTGG